GGAAAAAAAGGAAATTAGGTTTTATGTTATTCAAATACATATATATATATATATATATATATATATATATATATATATATATATATATATATATATATATATATATATATATATACACACACACACACACACACATATATATACACATACATACATATATATATATATATATATATATATATATATATATATATATATATATATATATATATATATATATATATATATATATATATATATATATATATATAGTCTTTCATATGGACCATGCCTTAAATGGGTTCAAAACTAGCCTGTTTACATGATATTTACACAGAGATACTGTGTATAGTGCAGCAACAAGAATCTTTGGTAAAAAGCAGACAAAGAACAATGACTGGTTTGATGCCAATTCCGCCACACTCATGCCAGCAATAGAAAAGCGTCGCAGTGCCCACCTGGAATTCAAGCGTTCTCCCTGCGTGAGGACACTACATGCATATAGGTCTACCAGAAGCAAAGTGCAGAGGTTAGCAGGGCAATGCGCTAATGAATACTGACTTCTACTCTGTCAGAGCATCCAGTCAGCAGTAGACAACAGAAACATCAGAGGCATGTATAATGGCATAAAGAAAGCAATGGGTCCAACGAAGAAAGTGATAGCTCCACTGAAGTCTTCTGCAAAAAATATTCATGACAAGAACAGACAGATGGAGCGCTGGGTGGAGTACTACTCCGAACTGTATTCCAGAGAGAATAACATGACCAACAATGCCCTCAACGCCATTGAAAACCTCCCTTGTTTGACCAAACTAGATGAGAAACCTACTGTGACAGAACTAAAGCTAGCATTAGAGAAACTGACCACAGGTAAAGCCCCAGGAAAGGATGGCATCCCAGCAGAAGTCATCAAATGTGGCGGCAGTGTGCTGTTCACACACCTTTATGATCTTCTCTGCCAGTGCTGGGATGAAGGTGCAGTGCCTCAGGACATGAGAGACGCCAACATCATAACCCTGTATAAGAACAAGGGCGACAGAAGTGACTGCAACAACTACAGGGGCATATCACTTCTCAGCATCGTGGGTAAAGTCTTCGCTAGAGTCATCCTGAACAGACTGCAGACGCTTGCCGACAGAGTGTATCCAGAGTCTCAGAGTGGGTTCTGTGCAGAGAGGTCCACAATCGACATGATCTTCTCCATCAGGCAACTGCAGGAGAAATGCAGGGAACAACACAGACCACTCTTCCTGGCTTTTATAGACCTCACCCAAGCATTCGATCTGGTCAGCAGAGACGAACTCTTCAAAATCCTGACGAAGATTGGATGCCCTCCAAAACTGTTAAGCATGATCCAGTCCTTCCATGAAGACATGAAAGGCACAGTGCAGTATGATGGCTCATTGTCCGAACCATTCAATATCCACAGTGGAGTGAAACAAGGCTGTGTCCTTGCCCCCATGCTCTTTGGCATCTTCTTCGCTGTCCTGCTTAAATACGCCTTTGGGACGTCCACAGAAGGGATCTACCTGCACACGCGTTCAGACGGCAGACTGTTCAACCTGGCACGACTGAAGGCAATGAGCAAAGTAAGGAAAGCAACCATTAGGGACATGCTCTTTGCAGATGCTGCTGCTATAGTCACTCACACAGAAGCTGAACTACAACGCCTGATGGACCGCTTTGCTAAAGCATGTGATGAATTCGGGCTGACCATCAGCCTAAAGAAAACCAACGTGATGGCTCAGGACGCAGACCTTCCCAGCATAACCATTAACAACTACAAACTAAAAGTAGTCAGTGAATTCACTTACCTTGGCTCTACCATCACCAACAACCTCTCACTCGATGCCGAGCTCAACAAGCGGATTGGAAAGGTGTCAACAACTCTCTCTAGATTGTCAGAGTGTGGAACAACAAGCTGACATTAAATACTAAGATCACTGTGTACCATGCCTGCGTGCTTAGCACTCTTCTGTATGCCAGCAAAACTTGGACCCTATACGCTTCTCAGGAGAAACGACTAAGCGCCTTTCACATGCGTTGTCTCCGTCGCATACTTGGGATCACCTGGAGCAATCGTGTGACAAACAACGAGGTGCTTCAACAGGCCAAAATTCCCAGCATGGTCACACTACTCCGCCAATGTCGCATCAGATGGCTGGGTCATGTGCATCGAATGGACGATGAACGGATTCCCAAAGACCTTCTCTACTCTATGCTTGCCTCAGGCAGAAGATCAATAGGACGGCCACATCTTCGCTTCAAGGATGTCTGCAAGCAGGATATGAAAGCTCTTGGAATAGAGGTCAACACCTGGGAAGAGCTTGCCCTTGACAAGTCCAGCTGATGACATGCTCTGTACACAGGTCTGAAAGCCAGCGAGGAAAAGTTACGACAGATCGCTGATGAGAAAAGATCTCAGAGGAAGAGGAAGCAGTTCCAACCAAGACCCGAGTCATACTTCAAGTGTAGCAACTGCAGCAAGGATTGCCACTCCCGTGTGGGACTTTATAGTCACAGAAGACGCTGCACAGCTACAAACTAGGACACCTTTCATGGGCGCATTTTCATCGTCTCTCGAGACTAACAGAAGCCAACCACAACCAACCAGTCTTTCATATGGACCATGCCTTAAATGGGTTCAAAACTAGCCTGTTTACATCATATTTGCATGATTTTTACCCCCTGTTAATATCAAACATGCATGTGGTATCTGGTCAGAATAATGTGCCAAGTGTTGTTATAGAATTTAAAGATGGGCTTAAATTTTAAGGGTTTGGCATGGAGTGTGTGTTTGTTTTAGGGTTTTGTAGCTATTTCAATATTACTTCTGCATAAAATAGTCTTCCAATACCATTAGCTTAAGAAATATCAGCAACAAATTAGAACAAAGACCTTTCTCACACAATTTGTTTCTATAGACCTTAAAGAGAAAAACATTGGAAAAACAAAGTAAAGAGAAGACAGGTAATCAGAGATTATGATTCCTTTAAACGATAATGTGGAATGCATGAAATTAAACACCTTCACGCATCATCCCATGTAAACGCATCATCCCATGTAAACGATGGGAGGTTAATCAACAAGGGTTCTCAGTCCAGCATTAAGTAGATAAACAAAACTTAAAAATTACACAAGACATATGTTCCCATCAAGTTGCATGAGAATATGTTGAATGCTTCATGATTTATACTTAATACAAGCATCATTGCATGTAATGGTATGCCATTAACTGACATGGGCCATAACTCTAACAAAAATGATGTAGATGAGACAAACCCATAAAAGGACATCTAGGTCTTGGGGAATTTATATTTCAAATGTGTTCCCCAATCATTATACCATAGAGCTACCACAACCTCACAAATCCAGCACTCCCAGGCTAAAACTCTTTCACTAAAACGGTAAAAGTTACCTGCTTGCCCTAAGTGGTAGTTAGAGTGATCTCCCTTTTTATACAAGGATTAGCACCAAGTCTCTTGAATTCTCCAGATACTAAATCCACTTGAGCTGAATAGCACACTCTCTACAGAGAGGACTCGCAATCCACATACAAGAAATGTGAAAGTTTTCTACCTTAATGCAAGTTGGAAATGTCATCTATAAATGTTTAACTTTTCTTTCTTTCTTTGACAACAAATGTCAGTGTTATTATTTTGCTATCCTCATCCATTTAAGCATCCATGGTACATTTCTGCATGGTTAATGATGGCATCCCCTCACACTACTTTTGTTGTACTGGTATTTAAAAGGTGTATATCTTGTATGTGATATAGAAAACTTCATGCTATGGTCGGATTTCATACAGGCATGTTTTCTATATTTAGTCTTAGAGTCCACTTCATAGTTATGTATGTGATGCTTTATTGATTTTACCTGTATGGGTCATCATACTGTAGTGTTAACTTAAGTATCAATAATGATGCTTCAGTGCTTTTTTATGTGAATATATGGTGTATACCAGGGGTGCACAATACATAGATTGCAATCGACTGGTCAATCGCGAAGGTAGTGTGAGTAGATTGCGTAGCATTAAAATAAATAGATGTCAGCCTATATGTGTTTTGCATTTTTATGGTAGGTAGATCTATATGGCTTAGTCATTTTAAAAGTAGCTCGCATGCTGAAAAAGTGTGTCCACTCCTGGTGTATACTATAGAAAACTTTTATTAACAATCTTTTCTGCCATGGTCAGATATGTACAGGTAAGTTTTCTATTCATTGTTTAGTTATAGCATCCACATCAAACTTCATATAAGCAACGCTGCAGTAATCTTACCTGTTTAGGCAGTCTTCTGGCCTTTTTACACAGTTTTATTAAAATTAACATTTTAGTGTCCACTTCAATATTGGTGCTTATTTTCCACGTAAGGCCCTATGTGGCCTTTAACTGGTAATTGTCTTTTGTAGCTCTGTATGGACACTGAAGTTTATAAAGCAGGACATGTGCCTTGCTACACATGCATGTATTGTCTGATATATTGTTTACATATAGATTTTGACCATGGACAAGTCCATACATGTGTAATACATATCAGAATTACATATTATGGACAGAAGTGCTATAGGTACTGAAGTGAAAGACAGAAGCAAATCTTGAGGGATGAGGACGTCATTAGTTTGCAAACAAATATTTGAAACCATATCATTTGCTGAGCAAGCAGCAAGTCACAGTTACATCTCCATTATCATTCTTATGAATGGGCTACTTGGATCAATATCCCATTCAATCCTCAACATCTGGACAACAATGTCAGCCTCGAGAGCCCTGTCCCATCACAACCAAACTCTACCTTATACTTCTAATCACAAATGCATGACTACAATTAAGTCATACAGTATTAGCCACCAGGAGAATGAACTTCGTCCAGTCTCTATCATCATTAACAGACCTTACTACAATACACAAAAATTCACACTCCTTGGCATGGATTCAATTAGTTTTGTGTCTACCACTGTTGTTCAAACCTAACTCAACAACTGCTTGATTTATAGTTCTGGCATCAGTTGATAGACTTGCTCTGGTTGCCTAGTGGTTAGAGCGTCTGCCTCAGATGTGGGAGGTCATAGGTTCAAACCTCAGAACAGTCACACCAAAGACATACAAAAATGGTACTAACAGCTGCTTTGCTAGGTGCTCAGCATATAGAGGTTAAAGTTAGGACTGATGTCAGGATAATGTGACATGATGCTACTTGTCTGCGGCATCATGCCCCAGTGCTAGACATTATAAACTGCCACATTGTAGACATCATAGCGATACGACTGAAAAACTTTTAAAGCTACGTTAAAAATTCAAATCACACACCCAGTTGATTAATGACTAAAGGAAGAATCTAATTTTGATTGCTTTCAATGGTCTGGCTGAGTTACTGACATTTTGGACAGCTTAATTCATCAAGTACAAGTACCTAGCATCAATGGTTTTTCACGCAGACACCTTCCCTCAAACTTTGCTGGTGGATACCCAGCAGTTGGTGTGCAACACCAAGGCCTCAATGGTGAAACTAGTATCTATGATGATCTATCAACAGTGGAACACAGCTTGTCTTCTACCACCCAGAATCTCACAGGAAATGCATAGGAGTTTGTTACTAGAATGGCCCATCTTAAACATAGCAGCCTAGCAAACTCTGGTGAAGGTGGTAACAGCACCTATGAACTTGTAACTGGTGGAACAAGAACAAGAACCTAGATCTTTATTAAAGACCATCCTATGGCCAAGTTGTACTAAAAAATTATCATCTAATCTCCTTGATAATCAAGTTGATGAAATCCACCGACATGCCACCAATTTCCCTCACTTGCAGTTTCAGCTACAACAGAGGAATTTGCTAGGCAATCAATAGAAGATTGCAGGGATGTCCCTAGAACACTGGGAAACAGTTCTACCGAATTTACAACCATCAAAAACCACAGTTCTCCTGAACATTAGTAGACAAGAGGCAGAGAGAAGGCAATCATTTTCATTAGCATTTCTCTCACTGAGACTCCTTTTCTTAAATGACATTCATGCCACCCTTATCACAGTTCCTGGTAGGGGTAAAGATACAATTCTTTGTTGTCAAATGGGAAAAGATATGACCACTTATGGACCAGGCTTCTAAGGAACTCATGCATTACTTTTCACCCAGTCAATTGACCTAAGTACACTTAATCAGCTCATTTCTAAGTGTTGTCCAGTAGGATAATATGTAATTAGTAGACTTGTAAGAGGTGTGGTTTCACATCCCCACTCACATTGTTTCCAGTGGTTCACCTAAAGAGATTACATTCTACAGAAACAGCAGGTGAATTATATCTTAAGGAAAAGACATGATATCCCTTGTTACTTTCCTTCTTAACCGTTTATTTAAGGTATGAAATTTTACCAGTTTGTTCCTAGTTGTGTTTTATTTTTGTTTTAAACAGAACAAGCAGAAAAGTATAAAATCCAAGAACTGTTTGCCACACCAATGGCCACAATAAGAGTGCAAACTTTCTTAGAATCTGATAAATGTTCATGGTCTAATGGACCAAAAGTTTGGTCTAGACAAAGCAGCTTAAACTACAGCAGCTGTTGGTTCCAACCCATGAAGTGACTTTTTATCAAAAGCTTTTCTTAAAAAATTTAAAAAAACCTACAATGACAATAGTATGATGAAAAAAACAATTCTTGGTTCCATTAGGTACAGGTCCACAACTAAAAAAATAAAAACCTTCAAAGTGGTTAATTGAATTCCACCAAAATATGATATAAGACAAATGATCTCCCTATCTGATTGTAGCTATTATAATATAATTTTACAATTATCACAAGCAGTTGCCTTTGACATTTTTGATCTATCAATCACTGTCTCAACATGGAGCTTCCTTTCCTTAAATGTAATGCAACTTTTAAGTTAATAAAAACTGGTTGCAGGAAACTTCAGGAAAGTGGACAATTCATGGGTGCCTCTGCCCAAATGTAAAACTTGACATTCTGTAGAAGTGAAGTGAAACACTGTCACAAGAATGCTTCAAACAGTATTTTTTATTTACAAACGAATGTAGAATAACACAATAAATCATCCTTCATTCTACTTTTTTCTCATTTCTTAATGAGAATTTTAAATAGTTTGCTCTGATGTCCTTTGTTTAAATGTCATTTACAAGCTGTCAAAGCTGCCTCTAGTAGTCGTCTTTACCTACAAAAGTATGTATAGTAACACAAGAAAGCTGTTTTCATTCTGTTTTTCTCTTTTTCTTCATGGGAGCCTTAAAATGTTTGCTTCCATGACCTTTGTTTGGCTGCCATCTTTTCTTGCCCGTTTTCTTTTTCTTCCAGTCTACTCCCTTTATCCACTGATCCCGTTGCATCTCCCACTTAAGCTGTTTAACGTCTGCAAAGAATGGTCACATGGTTAAAATGTATTTAGTTAGCATTTGAATTTATGGGCAAGGTATTATTAACATGGGACTTTAGTGAATGCCCCATGTTAATCTGACCATCTGAAAATTATCAACAGTTGCAAGCTGATATTGCTGTTTTTTTTCCTTCAGACTAGTCTTACATTTATAATTATAAAAGTTTAAATGACTATCAGTTAAAAACTATAAAATTTAGTGCCAAATTTATAGTGTTTTATCTATCCATGTGTCATGCATCAAATATGCAGAATTTTCCAATTTGATGCTCAAAAGTCGTTGATGGTATGTAAACTGATGCACCCCAATGTTATGTTTTGCTGATTAACACAATACAAAGGTTTTGCAAAAAATCTTCACTGGTACTTAAATTGACGAACCAAATGTTATGTTTTTGCTGATTGTTATGACAGTGTGGAGCTTTGAGCTCACCTTATGTGACCTGTAACTTTTACATCATTTGTAGCAACAGGACATTAGAATCATAAATTCGTGATTTTACAGTAATTCTCACAAGAAACTATTATTTTATGCGAATCATTATCACGCAAACAAACAACAATTTCCATTTGCTCAATTGTATGCCTTTTGATGTTCCAAGAAACTATCAGAGTTAGAATGAAAATGGCATCCAAGGTAAAAAGTTAAAATAGATTCAAAACAAATGAAATTATCATCTGGACCGTATTTTTACAATTGATTGTTATCGAACCAGTGGAGTCTTCATCATCAAAAAGATGAGGTAATGGTTACTCGTAAGATAAAATGTAATTTTGTGCAACAATGGTTGAAAATATAAAGCTGGCTATAAGTCAAGTGAAGAATGTAACAGTGAAGATGCCTTTATGTTTTGCCATATATGTACAGAGGCTAAAATAAACCTCGATAATCAAATGTGCAAAAGAAAATAACTTTCAGAACAGTACGCTGGAAAGGCATGCTGGTTTGCCTAAAACCTGCTGATGGAAGGTACACAACACCCGGCAGATGATTTTAATGCAGTTTTACAAACAAGACAGCAGCAAAAGAGTTACTTAAGTGTACATTGGCTGATTGTAAAAGATGTCTCTTTTGATAATACAAATCTCTTCTCAATTTAATACATCACTTAACGGCTAAAGAAATTGATGCTTTTGGCATTTTGAAGAATTCTGCCACTCATTATGTCTTGGCTACTACCTATTCAAAGGTTGTTGAGGATAGTCTTATACATGATCTGCAAAATTTGTCATTTGTGACATCAATGGCAGATAAAAGTATTGACAAAGCCAACAATAAATGCTTTGTCATATGTCATATATGCTCAGATTAATTCTGATGATATGAAACCATCAACAACATTTGTAACAAATATAGGATGTTCAGATGCTTCTGGCAAGGGAATGCCTTATTGGCTTTAGTCACATTATATAATTTAAACTAATATTTTTGTTGTGAATTTAAACAATATAATTAAAAACTACTTAAGAATGATCATCAGCTTGAATTTTGGATTTTGTCTCACTGTTTTTTGCTTTGATGAGTCAAATGACTTGCATGAAGCCATTTGTAGATAAAACACTGAACATATCATGGTACCTTTATTCAGGTTGCTGTATACGAGACCTGAAATGAGACTAAAACTTTTCTTTTGAGAATGCAGCTTATTCTAATATGTACTCATTTGTTTGGTACAATTGATAAAAATAAAACATTACATACTTGATAAAAAAATGCTGTTTGTTGGCTGGTTCTGAATCAGACTTGGGGTTATTTTCCAAGGCTAAACTTTACCCAGTCAATTATTCTTCCTGGAGTTTACTACACACAGCACTAGTGCAGTGAAGTGTGTGAAAGATCCAGGAATGAAAAGAAGAATCTCCTTTCAAAGTCAGTCAACTTAGTCACAGACCATTACTGCTGTAAATAATCTTAAAATAGCATAATTCATTTTATCTTTTTGGGAAAGACTATAAATTTAAACATTTATTGGAGGACAAAGAAAGGTAACTCTGCAAGTTGTTTTGAGAAATGTACTCCACGATTTGAGGAAATGCACTCCATTATTTAAGAGTTATGCTCAGAAAAAAAATTTTTCATGGATGAAAAATAAAAGATAGACATAGCAATAGATATATTCCCAACATTACAAACTGGTGGGATAACAATGGAAAAAAAGAAAACTGACACAAGTTTTTAAAAAACAAATGTCCTAACCAAGTAACATAAATGTGCAACTGGACTGGATTTTCCAGCACATAAGCACAAAAAGGGTAACAAGTTATCCCACAAATTCAGAGTAGGATAAATAAAAAAAATCTACTCAGCTGATCTGCAATTCTGATTTCAGAGTAAAGCTATTACAACATATCCGCCTGTCTCTAAACCAGTTGCAGTAAGTCTGATGATAAAAGACCCTGGCAATGAAGGACAAGGTTGAACCACAGTAGTGACAAATCCACTAGCAATGGCACTATAAAGTATGGATTTTCATTTCTATCTTCAATCAGTTTTGTCTTCCAACATTTAAGAAATGATTTCTCTTTATACCAATTAGATTACAAGTCTAAAAAGAAAAGTATTACCCAACTTAACCTACATTTTTATAATCACTTTTCTACTCACCCATACATTTATTATTTTTTTAATGGAATCTCCAGTATGACTTTGTAGTGTGACAATTATGGTGATCTTACAACAGCTAGTTCAAATCTAGCTTGGA